GATAGCTGCCTCCTGCACATTCCCCACTGGGGATGTGCCCGCAACCAAGGTACATGCCCTTGACCAGAATCAAACCCGGGACCCTTGAGTCTGCAGGCCGATGCTCTATCCACTGAGCCAATCCAGTTAGGGCAATTAATTACCTTTTAATGTGCACAAATTTCATGCACCGGGCTACTAGTGTTATATGCTAATAGAAGATACAACCAATACATTTTAGGGGTGGGATAAGAGATCAACCAAAGTACTTATATGCATGCATATAAGCATAAGCAATGGACACAGAAACTAGGTAGGTGAGGGTATGTGCTGGAAGGTGGGAGTGGCCGGGAGAGGTCAATGGGGGGGGAATGAGACATATGTAAAACTTTAACGAATAAAGAATTTAAATGAAAAATAAAAGAAAAATTAATAAGCTTTATTTTTTAGAGGAGTTGTAGGTGCACATTAAAATTGAGTGGAAAGTGTCCATAAACCACACAATCCTAAACCCACTCTTTCTCTCATTTTTGATATCCAGAAAATGAGAGATATATTTATTTCAATGGTGGGGGACATACAATGACACGATTATCAACCAAAGTCCATAGCTTACATTAAGGTTCACTCTTGGTGTTGTACACCCTATGGGTTTTGACAAAGCTATTATGGCACACACCCACCATTACACTATCATAGAGAATATTCTCACTGCCCTAAAAATCCTTTGTGCTCTGCTTATTCATCCATCCCTTCTCCCTAACCCCTAGAAACCACTCACCTTTTTTACTGTCTCCCTAGAATTGTCTTTTTCTGAAGGTTGTACAGTTGGAACCCTACAGTGGGTATATTTATGAATGTTTAACAAGTGAACATTCCAAGGTAATTGGATGTAGATATCCAAGATGGTCTTTGACCTGAGTTGTGTTTTGTTGCTGCTCATCAGCATAGTATCTGATGACACATCTCATACAAGCTGAAAGAGAATGATTTCTATAGGCATTTGCCACCTAATGGGTAGAGTTGAGAAAAATGACCTCACACACTCCTACAGAGCACTTACTACCTGTGCCATGCTGTTCTATGACATGGGAACAGATACTCTAGCAATGGAAGGAGACAGTCTCAAGAGGTTCTACTTTATACAACTGGAATAAAAAAGTCTTTCCTACTTATCTTCCTATTGGATACGGGGCCAGAAAGAATCTGCCTCCTATGTGTTGCTGTGCTGCAAAGTGTAGCGCCTACAACCAAGCTTCCTTATGATAGAGTGTTTCCTCCTAAACTGGCTAGTCTTCATTGAAGGAGTGTAGAGTTTGTATTGTGTTAGGGAAAATAAGTAGACTCTCTTCTAACTTCTATTATGGAGGAAGCCAGAAAACTCATGATATTTAAGTTTGACATGATTAGTCTATGATTCTGCTTCCACTAACAATACAGTTTTCTGTCAGGCTGATGGGGTTTGGTTAGATTATGTTCATTGTACATAGTAGTTCACAGGTAAGTATCAAATTTTGATAGATCCCAATCTTTTTATTTTTTCATTTGATATGTTTAAAAAGGAAAGTAAATGTTCCTAATGTATTAATGGGCTACCAGTAATATGATTAATGTTCACTCTAGTATAGTCTTCAGGTGTGGTCCCGAAGTTGCACTTTCTAACAAAACATTAAACTGGTACTTTTAAAGGTATGTATTTTTATTGTTTTAAAATGTATTTTACTTTTTTTAAAATAGTGATTGATATACCTGATGAAGACTCTTTAAACAGGTATGATTTTTCAAAATTATATGTTAACAGCAGAGAAAAGAAACATTTCTAGAGTGTTCTACTGTGGGCTATTCCCTATACTATGTAATTAGCCTGTGTTATATAGTCATCACAGTAGCTTGGCAAAGTAGCTGTGCTATTGTAGCATACTTTTTATTTATGAGGCAACTGTGGTTCAAGGAGGTGGATGAATTGTCCCATGATTCCATAGTTAGCAAGGGTTGACCCATGATATGACTGTCAACCTACTTGGCTCCCAAATTATTCTGTTGTCCCTCAACATACAGTGATCAGTATCTGTGTAGCTCTGCAATCGAGATACAGATGCAAACCAGATTATGTCAAAAAGTCAAATCTGATTGTGTACTAACTCTGATTTAGGGTTTTTCTAAGGGGCCCAGTTAGTCTAATCATTTATCTTACTCTCCTTGACAAATGTAGTAGTAAATGTGAGCTCGTTTTTCCCATGAAAGCTTTCAGAACCCATCTCATTTAGCTATGGCCACATAGCCAAAGGTTGTACATAAGCAAGACCCAAGCAGGCAAGTGTTTTTAGATAAAATGATATGAATCCTGCTTGAAAGGAATACTTTACTTGTAAGTAAACAATATTTATATATAGAACATGTTCTGTTAATTAAATTCAGCATCTATATAGAGGATATTTCTAATTGATTTCTCTATTTACTGACTTCCCAGTCTGGTTTTCCCTTAAGGCTGGTATCAGAGAATATTGACACAAAACTGGGATGTCTGCTCTGTGTGCTCTAATAGTGCCTTGTTTTATATTGGTTGGTGGTATCTATGACTCTGAGTGGAAATTGCCTGTTCGTGTGTTGTTGTGTTTTTTCAGTTTATAGTAAACTAGAGGCCCAGTGAATGAAATTCATGCATAGGTAGGGTCCCTAGGCCTGGCTTATGATCAAGGCCAATTGGGGCCTTCTGGCTCTCTGCTTGGCCTTCCTTCATTCTGCGCTAGCCCTGGTGGTCAGCGCAAGTCATAGTGAGTGATCGAACTCCCAGTCTCCTGGTGGAACTCCTGAGGGGACACTTTGAGTATTAGCATTTATATATATAATAGAGGCCTGGTGAACAAAAATTTGTGCACTCAGGTGGGTCCCTCAGCCTGGCCTGTGCCCTCTTGCAGTCTGAGGCCCCTCAGGGGACCCTTATCCTGGCTGCTGGCACGATTTTCCCTCTGGCACCCGGACCCCAGGCCTTCGCTCTTCACCGGGAGGGGCTGGAGCGGCAGGCTTCTCTCTTTGCTCTTTGCTCACCGCTCAGGCCCTGGGGACGGGGCCAGCACAGCAGGCTTAGCTCTTTGCTTGCCCCTCGGACCCCAGGGGAGGGGCTGGTGAGGCGGGCTTCGCTCTTCACTCACTATGCTGGCCTTCACTCGCTGCTCCTGCCCAGGGCCAGCTCCGTCGCTTGGCTCCTACATATGCAAATTAGCCTCCATCTTTGTTGGTGGTTAATTTGCATATTGTGCTGATTAGCCAATGGGGGCATAGTGAAGGTACAGTCAATTACCACGTTTGTCTATTATTAGATAGGATACTAGAGGCCTGGTGCACAAAAATTTGTGCACTTGGGGGGGTGGTCCCTCAGCCCGGCCTGTGCCCTTTTGCAGTCTGGGACCCCTCCAGTGATGACCACCTGCTGGCTTAGGCCTGCATCCCAGGGGATTGTGCCTAAGATGGCAGTCAGGCATCCCTCTGGCAGCCTGGGAGCCTTTGGGGAATGTCCACTTGCCAGCGGGGAGCAGGCCTAAGCTGCAGTCGGACATCCTTAG